AAAAAAGAGAATATATAGAGAAAATCATAAATAACATAGAGCGAGATATTTTTGGTTTTCATGTTCACTTAAGTAGTTTTAGTGAAAAGAACCTTATTCTCTTGCGATTGAAGGAGTAATTTTTTAATATATCTTACGATTTCTAAAAATTGAGATTTTAGAATCTTAATTTAAGAATTGTGTGTCGTCGCTTCTTTTTTTTTTAGTTTCCTCCAAAGGGTATGCAATAAAAAAAATATTATAAACTAAGCCACTATTTTCATTAAAGAAACAAAATTTATATTAAAACTTTAGGTTATTGAATATTTTTAATAAATTGCAAGGATAATTCAAACGAAATTTCACTTTACCGTTTTCTTCATATTTTGTTAAACGTTATGCCAATTCCACCACTAAAATATATTTGTTTTTCATGAAAATTGAATTCGCATTATTGTTATCGTAAAAAAATATTTTAAATTTGAAATGAAAAATTTATAAGAAATTCCCATTTATTTCTCTAATTTCCTCCTAAATGTATGCAACATGATTTTGGTTTTTTATTTCCGCCACTGATGGTTCTAAAAATTTTGCTTTTGACTCATATTATTAAGTATCATCCAGTTCAATGTGCTGTCTTAAAATTTTTGCAAAATTTATTTGCTAGCTAAAGTGCTATTTCCGCAAATTTTATAAAACAGATATTTCACTTTCATTTTAATATAGAAGCAAGTAATTACCAACCTGAATTTTATATATAGTTTAATGGCATTCATATTTAATTTTATATTTTTTAATACATTGTAATAACATTTTACAACATTACATAATTTTTAACAAACTGTTTACATATGTTTAATAATTTTCTATATGCTTAATTAACATTAAATTTGATGTTCAAATAATTATTATTGTAAAGGTATACAACATTATCTAGGTTATTACAAAAAGAAAATGGGTAAATATTCTTTAAGAATATGAGAATATTTCCCGGTGGCAAATGATATAAATATTCTTAATTTTAAAATATGGTTGCTTAAAGCATGCATTCTGAACCCACTAGACTGAAGAATTTTATTTTCCCGATCGGTATCTAATAAAATTTCTGAATTTGCAGAAGAAATCTAAATAAACGGAGTGTATTATACCAGTTTTATTAAGATTAAGACCTTTGTTCAAATTATACAAAAAACTTTCAATGGAATTGTACGAAGTAAATTATCATAAAATTTTATTTGATTATGAAGATATTAACCACATTAATAATCCATTTATTTTCCATAACAATCAATATTTATTGAGAAATAATATTATTTTCTTGGAAGAATTCACAACAGGTGTTTAATATGCATGAAAACAGGTGTATTTTAGAAACATATTTTCTAAATTTTAAAATTTGAACCTTTTAAAAATTTTCTTTTTTCTAGGAAAGTAGAAGTATGTGCAAATATAATTGAATAATATTATGTTAGAATTTTAATATTCTTATAGAATACGATAAACGATATTTAAGATAAATAGTTTGAAAAAACAAATCAGTTTTAATCAAAATATCGTAAAGCACATTTCCTTTAATTAATTGAAAGCATTCCAGAAAAAATAAACAGCAAAGTTTTATTGCAATTTCTTTCTTAAATATAATGTTTCTTATTGCATACTTTTAGGATAAGACATATATAAAAACAATGCGAAAATAAGCTTAGCTAAAACAAAATATTAATATTTCTTTGATAAGGATAAAGTTCTTTGCTATAAAAGCAAAAAATTCGAAAAACTTTAAAATTTCGAAGAAGTTTCTTGCCTTAATCCGAAATTTCGATAATTTTGAAAGGCTATGTTATTTTCCGATAACGCACGAAAGAGTTAAACAAAAACTGATTCAAAATAATGGTAAATTCTAATAAATAATTTGTCTAAATAAAATTTGTCTATTGTACTTTACAGTAGAATTAACTAAGCAGTATTGTATCTAGGTTTGTGGCATTGAAAAATTGTTTTAGATTTTGGTTCAATAAATACTGTAGATGGTACTACTTTCAAAAATCTAACCTCTGGGATAAGACAAAATAGGTCAATGAAAATATTCTTCCCATAATATTGTATTCGTTGTTAAATTTCAATTGAATATCGTAAAAATTACTGAAAACCTTAAGCAAACACAAGAACGGGACGAACAGGCAGAGTAAAACAAAGAAAACTACATTTTATTTTAATTTTTTAAATGAAAATATGACGAAAATATCAAAATTAGTTTATCGTTTCTTTCATTTCACATTTCATTCTCTAATAAAAGTAAGGATTAAAGTATAAGGATTCAACATATCCTTTCCATTTTATGTAAAAATTTTTTTATTTTACATAGTATGCCATTTAAAAATCCCATTTAAAATTAAATAGATATTTTGTAGTATTCATAGAGGTATTTTTTCCCTAATAAAATAAGGATATTAAATAAGGATAACAAAAAAAAAAATTATATTCGCTATCAAATCAATATGCTTAGGTCGCTTAAAATAAAATAAAATTTTAAATACTCTTGTAACATAATTGGGTCGAACCAAATGTAATTATGGATTCTATTTCAGTATTTTTTATGGGATTTTTTTTTGTGGTTTTTATGTTGGAATCAAATTATTAAACTATTTTGTAGACGATTAATCTATTATATAGGAGTAGATTTAAGAAAGAAAAAGGATATTTTAAAATAAATTAATGGTTATCACGTCCTCATCTACTTTTTTGAAATATTTGTAAATTTTGTGGTTTTAAAAGTTTTTGGGTAGTTATTAATAGACTTATTCATTATTCCAAAGAACCTAAGGACCTGAAAATTAAATTTTACTATAATTTTTTATAGAATTGTTGGAAAATGTGCAGATTGAATGATCGAGATTTGGATTTTACCCAAATGCTGATTAAGCAGTGATTGTGTAATTGTTGTGGCAACTTCCTATTCAAAAAGCTTAAAACTCGTGAAAATTCACTGCGTTTATTAAATTATTTACATCAAATTTATTTATGTTTTAAAAATTTGCTATTCGCTATCAACTTCCTAGAAAATTGTAGAACAAACAGAACCAAAAATAAAATCCTATCCGTTGGCATATTTGTTAAATAAGTTTATTATTTATAAAAAATTCCAACCAAAAACAGAAATAGAATAAAGTTTCTTCCTCGTAAAATAAAAATATTTATTCGTTGTTTTTAAACTTAAATTTTTAAGAAAATTTCTTTTTTTAAATTTCTCTTGAAGGCGTAAAATCTTATTTCTCAAACGAATTTTTTTTTTGAATCAAGGCCACATAAATGCATGACAATATCCTTAAAAGTATAATCGGCTTCGTGTATACAAAAATAAATTTCCACTTAATTTTATAAAGATTATAATAATTATAAGAGCAATGAAGTTCTAAAATATTAAAGGAAGTCAGTTTAAGAAAAAATTTAAGGACTAATAATAAAGATTCATCTATAATTTTGGGTAAAATATAATAAAAAAAGTATTTAAGGAAGTTCTGGAAAGTAAATTAACAGAATATCAGCCTGAAAGTAGGCAATTAATATAAGATTTGGATACTTTTTGCAAAACCCCCTTTAGTGTCGGAATTGTCAAAGTCTTGTCTCGTGTTTAAAAGATTAAGGGTATACAATAGAATTTTACTTAAATGCAATTTTAAAGAAGAATCAGCCTAAAAGTAGGCAATTTATATAACATTTCCAATCTTCTTTTACAAGCCTCTCTACTCTCAAAATTTGTTAAACTATTGTTTGGCTTTTGAAGAGATTAAAACTCTACCATAAAATTGTCATTAATTTTAAAGCAACTTTAAATGAAATCAGCCTAAGGATAGGCAATTTTCAATTTATATAATATGTCGCAATTAATGGACGATATTTGTAGAAACGTCTCAGCTGATCAGATTAATTCCTCAAAATTATTGTTTTGTGTTGAAAAGATTAATAAATAGCCATACACTATTTTGTAAATCTAAAAATTTAGATTAAAATATTGATTCTTTTGTTAAGATAACCTACGCAGCTTATACACATGTACACAATTTCCTTAAGTTTCATATAGATATTATATAATAGGTAGAAATGAAAAGAGAATAATTTTATTTTTAATACCTTAAACGCAATTTATTTTATTTTTTTGTATCATATACGCCTTCGCCTACGTATATGCTTTAAAATATTATGTATAAATATTTTTGTAAATTTTTTTTTTATTATATAGCTGAAATTTATGAAGAATAATATTTCTAATAATATAGAATCGTTAGCTACCTACATCTTGATAACTTATTTAATACCTACATGCATATATTATACACCTAATGCGAGGACATAACATAGGCACTCAATTTTCTTTATATTATGTATACAATTATACGACTATAATATTGTTATGAAAGTTATATGCGTAACAGTGAAATGCACTATGAAGTGCTACCATGTAATTCGTAATAATATAAATATGATGAGTTTTTTGCTTCTTTTCTTTTTCAAATATTGCTGAGATTTTGACTACCCCCCCTCTCTCTCTCTCTCTCTCCACTCTCCTTTTCAATCCAATTAGAGAGAAGTGATAAAATTATAATTCTTGGTATTATTTTCAATATAATGATAGACTAAAGAAGATGTGATGAGAAAAGTAATTTTCTCTCTTCCCTAGTGATGATTCTGAGAATTTCTGAGAATTTACCTTCTTCAGTTTATATTTTGGAGAAAATAAAATTAAATTTTTTGCATAAAAATTTTTTTTCATAACTTAAATTTTTTAAATTATTGTGATCTACTGTCTTTATAGTAATAAAGTAATTGTGAGTTTATTACAAATACTTGTTGCGTACTTCTTATTGCGACGAATACATTTTAAAATATTTAAAGAGTATGAAAAGCATTCATATAGAAATTAAAAATTCTTTAAGAACGAACTCTTGGTAATTTTTGAGAGAAAATAAAATTATAGAAATTTAATAGGAAAAAATTTAAATATTTATTTTTTTTTGTATACTTACCTCAACGGATTAATTATAGCACGATGACGGTCAACAGCTATCGCTGTTAATGTAAATACTGATACATTAACACTAACAGCTTGAACGAATGGACAAAATGAGCACATAAATTCCGGTAAATGCCATTTTTGTAATAGTGCTGCTTGAAACTGTATATAGAAAAATAAAAAGAAGAAAAAAATTTATTAATAATGAAAAATTTAGAATTCAATGAAAATAAAATTTTACTGAAAAGCAAAAAGCTAAAATTTTAAGCAGTTAGTGACAATTATAAAATTTCCTGATATCTTCGCCTCTTTAGAAATTATTGTAGCTCCACAAAACTTTCAAGAATAACAAAATTTTTGTATTTCAATTCTAGGTCTTTTACTTTTCACCTTAGTTATGGCTAGAACGTGTCTATTACTTGAATACTTCAATTTATTTGTTTTTCATCCTGAAGATATGCAATATATGGTAACAATTTATATTGCTTTTTAAATAAAATCTATTTTATTTACAACTCTCACAATCACTCTCAATTCATGATTTTTCTTTTGAATTTCATAAATAATTTTTTTTGGGGGTATGGGGGGAATTTCGCCTAAATATATGCTTTTCGTTGTATTTTCTCTTAATTTTACCTTGAACTGGAATTCTTGTCCTTAAATGTCAAATTCAAATTGAAAGAATATACATAATTTCGGTTCACATCAAAATTGAAATGTTTTTTTCGTTATTTTTACATATTTATTTTTAATTTATACAAGTAAAGCCACTTACACGAAATATTAAATACGTTTATTGAACTCACTTCTTGATGGTCTTGGTATGAGAAAATCAAGTTCACATCAATAATAAAATGGGAAGAAAGGGGTGGGAGAATTCACAAAGTTAAGTGAACTTATTGGGAATCAATTTTTTTTGCAATTTTTGAATAGAAAATATTTTTTATCATTTCAATGTCCTTAAACCTAAAACAGAATATTTCAAAATCATCACAGAATTTAACACGAAATCAATGTGATTTTGTTTTTGTTGTTTTTATCGATCTCATTTTAATGAAGCAAGAGAATCAGAAGAGAACATTCTAAACATTAACATTATGTTATTGAAAATTATACACCGAAATCGCGTTTCTTTGGAAAAACTCAATGATAACAAATGGAAAGGAAAGCCAGAGAAGGTGTTAAGTTGTTCAGCCTACATTTAAAGCTCTGAATGCTTTAAATAAATTTAATGGTATTGTTACTATGGCTTTTGCTATAAAATTCATCTACAACACCATTGAGAACAGAGATAACAGAGAAACACAGTTTGATTTCTTGTCACGAGATTTCACGCACCAGAAATTTCACGTACCAAAAATTTTAGTATTACAAAATGGAGGTGTGAATTAAATATAATAACGCTTGCAAAATGAATTAAATTTTAAGTAGGAGTGACCCTATACTTTTATATTTTTTTTATTTTACACAAGTTGATAACCGAAGCTAATTCCATAAATTGTTCCTTATATATTATTCAATCAATCAAACAATCAATCTTGTAGATTGTCTGCCATTAATTTTGTACAAGGGTTCTGATTTCTTTTTTAATGTTTTAACAAAATTTATATTATACTTATTCATATATGGGTATTTCAAGTTAACCAAAAATAAATTTTATTGCTTTTATGTGATTCAGCCTCAATCAAGAAAATCAAAATTTATAATGCAATCAGAAGGAAATTTTTTTATACAAGGTGACTAATATTTGATGCAATTATTAAATGTTCGAAAAAGTATTCATGGGTATTGATAATTTTCGAGCAGTTAAGCAATTAATGCCTCTCTCTGTTGATTAACGCGACTTTAATTTGTATTTTACCGCAAATCTGCTAGCAGATAGCTTTTATTCTGATTTTCAATTTCGATTTCTTGAATATTCAATTTAGCTCTGTTACGAGCTTCTTGCCTTACTACAAAAGAGGGAAAATATACCTATTGTATGTAATTTTAATAGTTTTGAAATTTTTGTACACCTAAAATGGGGGACCCCTTGTAATAAAATGTCAAATTTCAATTTTATTACTCTATATAATTCAATACATTATTTGGGATGTAATATTTTACTTATGAGCTAAGCATTTTTGATGAACATTATCACTATAACCAACAAAATTTTTAATTGAATTTGCATTTATATAGGGTGATTTTTCTGTGTTTAGCCTTTTGTATTTTATCAAATGTTCTCACCACTCAAATATTCTCAACAATTGAATGTTCTCACCATTGTTTATCTGTTTTACCCTGAATAGATCGTGAAATTCAAATTAACAAATTGAATTGAACATTCATTTCAATAAATAGTCCGTAAGCTCTCCTTCCGGTGCAGTTTCAATTCCAAATATTTGTAAACAACATTGAATAGGTTTTTATTAATATTTTGACAAAAATATACCAAAAAAATGCTCCAAATATAGGACCCCTTGGGTCAACATTTACTTTTTCTTTACTCACAAAAACAAATTGCTTAAAAAATCACCCCTTAGTTTGTTTCTGATTAATTTCAATCCCAGTTTGATATTACATGAATAAAATTTTATTTTAATGTCTAAATTGTTATTTTTAGATTTGTTATAAACACACGTACACACAAATATACGCATGTAATAAAAAACAATACACATGTAAATAATGAAGTGTAAAATATCACCATTTAGAAGTACAAAATGGCTAGACCACAAAAAATGAATTTGGACAAAAAAATTTTTTTTCGACAGTGCACAATCAATAATAAATAGTCGATAACGTTTAAGCAACTGCCACTTGTCAAACAAAGAAATTATTTTAAATGTATTTGCAACGGATACCCTTCTCCGGTGGGTTGAGGAGTAGAAAATACTTACAGCACACATGCCAGTGATACCATAATGGACACGGAATGAGGGTTCTCTGGTCGACGGCTGGCCCTAAAAGGAAGGCAGTATCTTAACAAAGCTTGGGTCATTGAGCAAGTACAATAAAATAATACGAAATCTGCAATATAATACGATTATAAATGCGGTAGGGGTATTTACCAAAATATTAGGCTAAAGTATCCTAATATAGATCTTCCAGTAGTTCGAGTCTGACTTGCTCTGTCTCTCGATGATTTTTAATATCAGAGAAAATAAGAAAATTAGTCATACCGATTGTTCCCTAATACATGTATTAGGAATAGGGGATAAGTTTAAGGTTTTGACTGATTTAAATTTGATTTTCACCATAGGCGAGTTAAAATTCAAGAAAGAGAATTTTATAAGCAAAATTATTAGTATTTACATTAATTCGATATCAACATTTTAAATTTATTTCACAGACGGCACAAACTGCGGTTCAATAAAATATGAGATGGAAATATTTACGGAAATACGACAAGATGAAAAGGAAATTAAAATGGAAATTGATTAAATTTTATTCGTTTAATTAAATTTTCTCTTTCTTTCTCATGCGTTTGTGATCTTTGATTCGGAAAAATTTTATTCCATTGCATACGTTTGTCGCACTTAAAAAGAATCCCTTTAAAAGGTTTCTCTTGTTTTCTCAATTGTGCAAGTGTGTAAAGTGAAAATTCTGAATAAATCATTCATTTATGGTTTCATATTCTTTTGTTATGTAAAGATTACAATGTCACGGTAATGGAATCGGGAATAAAATCGATAATTTTTATTATTTTCTCGGTTTTACAATCTTATTTAATGTGACATGTTTCGTATATAATTGAATTGATGAAGGCGTAAAAATGATTAACAGGTGCATGCATTTAAAACAGGTAGCTAGTAAATATTTTGCAATTTTTGTTTATTTAAACAAAATGAAAACAAAAGATTTGTGTAGGTTTTCACTCTTGAAATTATTGTTTTTAATTTAAATAAGATTTTATTTATTTTTAATGAAAATATTTTTGAAATTGTATACAAATAGAATGTAATCAGATTATGCTATTAACGAGTTTCCTAGGTTATATAAATATTAGGTATTCATAAGAAAATCATGAAACTGCTGAAAGCTTCTTGAAATTTTGGGGGAAAAAAATTATAACAACTTTTATGGTTTATAGATGAAGTTTGTTCGCACTCATTCACGATATTAAATGCACAATATTAAGAGAGTTTCGTCTCAACTGGAAAATATGTAAACAACTAGACTTGTTAGTTGCCTCCTCCTTAAAGTTTAAATTAAATTCTCGCTAGAGTAAACGGCGGACGAATAGAAGAGTTTGTTATATTAACAGATTCTTCAATTGCAGTAACCCCATTCGGAAAATGTATTACCTCAAAAGCCACATAAATTATGGACTACCTAATGCTACTTGTCCGATAATTTGGTATTTTGGATTCAGAAACTTTTAATCAATTTCAATGCCAACGTCTCTGGATTCTTGATTAAAATTAGGTTGTTATAAGTTGCAGCTGTACAAGATCTATATTAACTCCTTAGTTCGCATTTCAACTATCCGGAAATTAAAAATTGTCAGACGGAAAAGGAAATCTAGAGTTAAAATGCTTCATAGTTACCGGTAACATACATTTTAAAAATTTATTAATGGTGTGGTTCTTATGCTTCGAAAACTTCTATTCTTTCAATAAAATAACGAAATATTTGCGTTAATGCCAATCATTGCTACAACAAATACCCATTGCAAATATTTATGACTGTTGCATAACACTAGGAGCAATTTTAATTATTTTAGTTATTAGACAAAACTTATGGTAACTATTTTTGTGATATTGTTACTTACTACTTAGTCTTTAATGTTATCTTAAATATAACAGTATTTAACAGTTATTTAACATGAAAATCACATATCTATAAATTTTATATCGTAAAAAGTATACCTGCAATCATTTTGAATTATTTTCTTAAAAATGACAAAAATCATTATTTAAATAAGAGGAACCGTTCGTTCCTCTTATTTTAAAAGTCGTTAAGAAACCCTATTGACACTGTTTATTAGTACATTTTTTTGAGTTAAAGCTAATTTTCCTCCATAGTATCCGAACCGGTGCGAAAGCCAGACTAATCACATGACGCCGAACACGTTTGAAGTGGTTGGACAAGGTTGACCCCGGAGATTTAGTGTTGACCCCGGTGGCTTAGTGTGGTTCAACATAAAAATGACATAATAGTCATTAATATTAACCGTTATCTAAAACCCGATTTGTTTATATTTCTGGTACCGTTTCTTTTCAAGACAATTTCATTAGAAAAATTTTTTTTTTCACTTCACATCCTCCCGAGTGTTACCTCTTGAAACTAATCAAATTTGTATTTTCAGCCCCTTATATTTCCGAAACTGCTCCAAAAGTAAACGGCTAACAGTTCAAGGGAAAAGTGCTGCTTTACAATCTTTAATTCAATTTTATTCAATTTATTTTCCGGTAATGTGTTTTTCATTAATTTCCTGTATTATTTTATTTCGAAATCATATACAAACACATACAATTGACTAAATAGGAAATTTAATAAAAAAAATATTTAAATATAAAATGATAAAATAATGCTGATTTTTTTAAAGATTTTCTCACCTGAAATGGTACACAAAACATTCCAATGATAACATCAGCTAATGCTAAATTTGCAATATACATATTTGTAACAGTATGCATTTGACGTGTTGTTGCTACAACCCATATAACTAATGTATTACCAACAATAGCAATAAAACTAATGACACCATAAAATATTGACAATAAGACGATTATTTCAGCTGGAGCTGAGTACATTTTCTCTGAAAACGAAAAAAGAAAAATATAATATTATGTTTATAAATTTTCATAAGAATTTTCCTATGAAATAATAATATGTGTGTGATGACAGTAAAATCTATGTTATTTATATTGCCTATATAAACATAAATACACAGAAGTTCAAAAATAATATAAAATTTATTTTGTCAAATTGCTATACTGATTTCGATAAAATATTACAAATTAATAGGATATTATAGGATGTCAATTGGTTAATGTTTGCTGATATGAGAATTTATGACAGTAGATAAAATAATAGTAATATGTATGAAAATTATGCCATGCAAATGGCACTTACATAACAATAAAAAATATCTTTATAGTATATGTATAGGTTTAGAAAATGAAAACGAAATCTTTTTGTGCCGATATCATCGTTCTGATAAGAATTTCCGTAATAATTTTTCAATTTGTTGTTTCTTTTTATTTTATCTGTTATCAGAAATTTCGAAAAAATTATTGCTGTAATGTTTTCTGTTATGAATATTAAATACATAAAGTATTCTATATAGTCATGCGGTGCCATGTACTAGCGCCTAGATTTACGTTAGTAAGAAAAAGAAATGCTCCACAACAGGTTTCCATCATAACCGTTCAGAAGATAGAACATTCTGAAAGGCAAAATTAGGCTATAATTTTGTTCGGTATAACGGTATTAGGCTTGTGTTCGGTATAGGTTCGGTATTAGACTTGTGTTCCGTATAACGGTACTTTTAGCCTATGTATGTGTTCTGTATGACGATACTTTTAGCTTAGGTATGCGTCAGGTGATTCCATTTATTCCGTCGGTATTTAACAAACTTGCAAAAAATTAAAGCACGTTGAAGGCTTTCTTAATTTTTAAAAAGTTTGGAAGACTGCATTATTATTTGAAAGAAAAAAATTACTGTTATCTAAGGGAAGAATCTAAAAAAAATTATCAGTCATTCATTTTTTTAACAGTTCGGGTATCTAAATTGAAAGCACAGTAAAGTTTTATGATTTTGCAATAGCCAATTGCACAGCTTTCTAGTTAAAATTTAATAGTACTGTTATACCTAACACAGTCCAAATTAAGGCATACTTTTTATTAGAGCAATTAAAATAATACAAAACTGCCTTCAAGAACCCACTTAGAAGAGTGCTTTAAGAATTCTTACCTCCTAAACTAGTTGCAGTCGGGATCTATTGTTAAAACAATTCTTATCTATACTAACAAAGATCTATACGCTCATATATGGATGCACCACTATTTAAAACACCCAGTATATATAATTTTAGTAACACAATTGTTAATTTATATAAGAATTATCAAAGGTGTCTAATTTTGTTCCATAATATAGCAATAAATAACAATATTAGGAATCTCTTTAGGGATTTTTCGAAAACTTCTACCAAATAACATGTGTTCTATGATATTGCATCTTATATGATACGAAAAAATTTTGAAAATCTTCAAATATGTTTTCCATCTAATCTAGAAGAAATTCAACCCTTTTAATTAAATTTTTTTTATTTAAATTTTCAATTAAATAACAAAATGGTTCCCATAAATGATTTGCACGCCTTAATAGCATTTAAGGTAAGAAAATAAAATTTTAAATTTTAATAGCATCTAAAATTTTAATTAATAAACATAAATTTCCTTAAAGGAATTATCACCTTCACTTAAAAGGTACGTTTGTTTTTTAATCCTTAATAATGGGCAAAATTAAAAAATACCAGAGCCCCAGTTCTCTAAAATATTAAGAAACTCTTTTACTTTTATTCACATTGTAAAATTTTGCGAACTTAAAAAAAAGAAATTTCAAATAAAATTTTTTAAAGACCTTTTAAATAGGATAAAATGGAAAAAATTTCCCATACCTTAAATTGAACCTTGATTAATATTCTTTCATTTTATTTTTTGTCAGACAGAAAGGTTTTGTAGTATAGAAGAAAAAGGAAACCTATAAGCAATCAAAAAAACCTCAAAAAACCAGTAAATTAAATTCAATCTTCTATAGCAAGAGTAGAATACAAAAAAATTTAGTTTTCCTATACCCAAATATAATGGTTTGATAAATTTTTAATTAAAATTAATATTAAAAAAATATTATGTAAGAAAATAAATCAACTAAATGGTAGTGAATAGTTAAAGGAAAATGTTCTAGTTATCTACATTAACAGCCACCTTGTTGCTATCATGGGAATCAAATTTAATATTTTTAAGTGTAGGCACAAACCATAATTTTACTAAATATTGCTTCTCATAAATGAAATATTTCTAATTAATTGTAAGACTGGCGTAACAATGAACTTGAATTAAAATTATTAATGCTCATCTCAAATATTCAATGTTATATTGCGTGTTAATAAATTCAAACCACTTCTTGTTTATAAGCAGAAGAGCATTTCTTGAGTATTTTTTCTCATTTTCTACTTTGGCCTACTTACAGTTTACAGAATTAAACCATATTTCACCGGCTAGCTAATTTTATATACGGAGAATTCAAATTATTTTAATTTTATGTTAAATCGACTAGAGTAGTAGTTTGTAATAGTTTCGTACTGTAATATTTTAAGGAAGGGAGAATAAACATAAATAGTACAACTGGGTATATAGTTTATAGTGATGGACAGCAGACAATTTTTGTAATTACACAAAGAACTATATTTTTTGTGGGGCGCTAGTGAGTTTTTTTTTAAGTTTTTTTAATTTAAAATGGCGCAAATCAAAAAAGAATGAGTTCTATTGTGTAAGTACAAAAATTGTCTTTGGTATATCATAATAAACTATATTATATACAATGGTAGTACACAGAAAATAGAGGGATTGAATTGTTAAAACCAAAATTAAATTAAAAATTTTCGGAAATCATGCAATTCGAGACGAAACAAATACCTCAAAATCAATAAATTTCTAAAGGAAAAAATTTACCCCTAAAATTATGCAATATTATTATGAATAGTAATCTCAATTTATTTAGCTCTCATTTGTACATTTAATGAGTAATCTTTCATTTTAAGAGACAAAAATTATTTATCTAGGGTATTTAATCTTTTATTAAGAATTAAATTTAACTATAAAAAATCAAGATTCAGATGAAAATAACATTAACCTTAAACGTAAAAAATTTATTTAATTAATTAAAAATCTGCCAACATTATTTTAGAAAATTGTCGCCTCAGGTGTAAAATTTTTATTTACCACAACAAACAAAAATTTAATTGAATAGTAAATTATTTGAAAATTAGATAAAAAAACAATAACTACAATAAAATTTTATTGTAGAACCAACATTTAATTTTAATATTCAATAATATGGCGGTTCTATTAGAAGTTAGCAAATGCTGCACACCACAGTATTCTACAGAATCAATTAATTTTTAATTCATTTTTTAAATTAATTGATTAAAAATTAAATTATTAATAACATTTTGAATGGAAATTTGCTCTAATAATCAATCTGACTACTAAAATATTAATTTTATGGAAATTGAAACTAAATAATAATTTATTCGAGCCCTGGCTGCAAACCAATAGTTTATGTGAAACAAGAACTGTACACAATTATTTTAATAGTGTAAGCTCTGAAAGCAAAAAGTTGAAAAAGCACAACGAAGGCTTTTTAAAAATTATAGCGTAATACTGTGCTAAATTACAACGTAATACTATGCTAGAATAGTTATATCTCATTGGTTAACAGCAATCTGGAAGGTTAATTTCGATTCTAACTGAATGATTTCTACTTAATGCTAGATAAATTAAGCTGAAATAATTGAATACTATAAAGAAATTAGTTAAAAATTTTTAAAACTTACCAAACTCCAGTTCATCTGTTTCAGTTTCCATGGTCTCATTAGAGTTAGGATTTCCAAATAATTTCAATAATTCATACATTGTTGAATGGTATAAAATTTTTTCGCCACCTACTTTAAAATTCTTTTCACAATACTTTCACTTTTTATTCTTCACAATATAATTTATCACCTTCACCAGAAAAATAAATGCTTCTTTCCTCCTTTTGTTTTTAAAATAACATTTCTCTTTTCTTTCTATTTTTATATAGCTACTGAAAAATTTCAAAAATATCCTTGAAGCACAAAATATACAATCAGCAATAATGGTAAAGTAGACATTTAAATTTAATGAAAGTAAAATTTACAGCAGGTTTTCTACCGAATAACTTTGTGAAGAATGACTTTTTGACTTGAATTTCAATTTTCAATTATATCTGATGTGCGATGAAAAAATATTGGATACGCGAAATATTCGAGCACTTATTTAATTTGTTATTGTTTTTATTTGCAAATAAAATTCGTTGTGTAGGTTTTCCTTAAGTATAAATAATAGGAAAAATATAATGTAGAGGAACTGTGAAGTGGAAGACATGTCATTGAACGGGATAATACAATAATAAAAATTATATCCTCCTGGATGTTTATATTGTGTTTCCCAAGCTATGTTATATTGTTGTATCCCTGGAATAGAAATTAAAAATAAAAGTAAATTATTTTGTTTTCGAGGAAAAAGTTGTATAAAATAAATAAAATAAAATATTTTTCTTATAAAATAGAAAAAAATTAATAAAAATTTTCAAAATTCATGCAATTTCAGGTGAAATAAATGGTATAAAATGAATTTTCTTAAGAATACTTTTTTATAGTTATTAATAAAGTTAAAACATGTTAAATTCAAGATCACGATTGAGAAATTGGAATAGAAATGTGTGACTGAAAAGCCCAATGTTTTCAATTGATGTTCGTGGTCAAAAAACATTTGCACGATTACCGAAATATTCATTACTTTTACAACTTTGCGAGGTTTGGGTGACTTAAACAAAGTGACAGGCCAGTTGCATCTGCTAGAGTAAAAAATAACCACGAGAAAGCACATTAATTCAGTGGTGTCCACTTTTTCTCGTTCAATTTATCTACATTCAAAAATTCCCATTTTTTCCCCTTTCCAAATCCTATTTTTACCCACATAATTTCCCCTTGAAATTTTTTACTTATACACATTCATCTAGCATTGTACTTAAATAAAAAATGTATTTATACATTTAACAAAACAAAAATATTGAATTTATTCAATTACATAAATTAATTTATAATGTCTAGTTAAAATGATTCTTTCATATTGTAATACATATATGAAATACTACATTAGTTTAAGAGCTTCAAATTGTTGGACTTTTTATTCTTGATCAAGTGTCACTAATTAGAGAATAAGTAAATTAGAAAAAAATATAATTTCAATGGAATTTCCCAAGATTTTTCTCTTTTTCCCCTCCAAGCTTCAAAATTCCCTCAAAATGGGAAATTTCTCACGACACGGCAAAACTATGTTAAATTTACTTCAATCACCTCAAGTCGAGAAATTCATTAAAAGTTGAGGTTCTAGCAAATATTTTGAAAATTTCAGAGGCCCTTAAATGGAGAAATTACTATTGCAGAAGGTCAATTTATTTCGGAAGAAATTTTTGGGAAATTCTTCAAATTTCTTTTAAACTTCAGTTAAAATTCTGAGATGACACCGAATTTACTTGCGTTGTACAATATCCCGTTGAATATCCCGAATTCGTTATTTTGTCTTACTGTTCGTTTCGAATTTCCGATCAAGAACGAATGCTTTATAAGAGTATTTATTAGATCTTTCTTACACTGAGCCTAAAATATAAATAATAAAACAATAAAAATGTAAAATATTATATTTTTGTATTCGGCCAAGCTAATGTAAATTAAATAGCCCAAATTCGTACTTTTGCCTTGAATTTTAGTTTAAATTCAGGCATTTTCCAAAATTCAATGAGATTATCATCAAAATATTGCTTACAGAATGTTATTCGCTGTTTTCCCCTAAATCACTATATTCTGTGAATCTGTCACGTATAATAAATTCAATAATACTTCCTATTCTATTGTGTAATTCATTTATAATGAAAATTTAATTTTAGAAAAAAAAATAATAATAAATAGGAAAACTCATAAAAAATTCTCAAAACGTAAAAATTTAATTTATCAAAAATTCTCAATAAAAAAATTTACAAAAAACAACAAGAACAAATAAAATAAAAAATGTCCTTCTAATAATGAGGATGTGATTGTCCTTAAAATTGAATGTTGACACCATTTTGACTAAAAAGAAAAGAAAAATGTCAAAATCAAGTGTGTGATCTTCCAAAAGATTTTTGATTTCATTTTTGTTTTTTCATTTCAACTTTTATTTTTAATATGAAAAATTTAATTTTGAAATGAATTGATTATTGATGATAATTCAAAAAGGTTTGGAATTTGAAATTAAATTAATAAAAGGGAAATTTAAATTGGGTTAGGTATAGGCTATCAAAACTGAATGCGATATAAGTATGTGCGAAAAGCAAGAATCAAGAGCTTTGAACTTCAAATTAATTTGTTTAAAGTGTTAATTAACTAAAGCTCATTGCCAAAAGGCGCAAATCAAAACCCTATGCAGTTGGAACTAAGAAACCATCAGTTATTAAGAAACAGCGTCATCATTTAGAGGAAAGAAAGAGAAAAAGCATAAGATAATGTAGGTTAAATACAGGGAGGAGAAAAAAAATAAGTAAAGTAAAATGATAAACACAAATAAAAACTTAAAAACTTACAACATACCGGCCATCACACAAAAAAAAAGTAAGGACAATATAAGGAAAAGCAATAAGAAAGCAAAAATAAATAAATAAAAGCGAATAAGAGAAAAAAAAAGAATATTACTACAAATTTAAATTAAACAAAATCTAGATCTAAGAGTACTCTTGCTTAACAGAAAGATCACACAACAAAGAATTAGAATTAACACAACACAACATTCTAGTGACCGGCTCATTTCTACCATAATCAATAGAATGATAGCGAACATTATACAATTCAACAGATCTAAGATTTCTTACATTATCCCTAATAAAAACTTCGTTCCAGCAATGAAGAAGCTACAATGGCCCCTGACACAAGCTGGTGGATAAAAATTATGTTAGCAACAGCGATCCGTCAAGGACTGTAAATCGATCATCAGCAACTTAGCCTCGTACAGCGGCAATTTAAACGTATCAAATTAGTCCAAACCCCTCAAAGCAAAACACAGAAATTTCCTTTAAACTTATTCAATACGTGAAATGCTCACCACACGGTAGGGTATCGAAACCTGACAAGTATACTCCAGAATCGGCTTTACAAATAATACATATAAATGCTTTGCAACATACAGATCAACCAAATACCTGGCCCATCTCGTTACAAAGCCCAACTTCGAGTAAACCCTACCAAGAATCATATTTAAATGAGCCCCAAAATCCAATACGATCTCGTTGAGTAAATAATCATACCGGATAAGAGAAGATTCCCTCCTTTTTATTTTAAAGATAATTCATTAATGGTAAACCGTAGCATGTAAATTCGTGATATCAACTAAAACACAACAAAACTATTCTCGTATAACACTGAAAAAGTAATCAAAACCAATTCTTATACAAATAAATTTCAATATATTGTGAATTTTAATCGTTTAAATTAAAAAGTTTTGTACATATATCAAGGAAATGTTTTCTACCAAAAACTTAAAAACATTTTCATTCCCGTTTAAAAATATCCTCAAAGGATGTAAGTTTTAAACTAATTAACTTAACAATAGGATCACGTCAAGATTAAGTCAACTATTCTGTTAATATATAAGAAAATTTTATGGGAAAAGAAATTTTACACACTAAATACCCAAATTGTTATAGAAATAAATCTTATATTAAAGAGAAATTACACTAATAATTAAATTTTAATTGGGTATTTCTTTCGATAGTTTACTCATCCCTTTTAATTAGATGACATTTTTATGGTTATATAAATGGAGTAGTAAATTTTGTTTTTGTTAGAAACTCAAATAATAAATTGAATTCATTCCATAGATTCCTCGTGTGGTCAGTTTTTTAATAATTCACCTCTAATAATATGATTACACTGCCAATTTGAATTTCTACGTCAATTTGATTTGACAGTTTTGATTTGCATATGTCAGCTTAGATTTGTTAAGGGTAACTTCGGTTTGCGTATATGTCAACTTTGATTTTAGTAAGTAAACATAAAATTCACCTACGTTAAATTTCTTTTGCGTTTATCATACTTATGTTACGTATGTCATGCCTTGATGCTTACGTATGCATGCTTCCGTATGTCAATTTTGATTTACGTATGTCAATCTTAACTAGGCGTCATGAAATTTGATTTTTGTACGTCAATTTACATTTCAGACTTACTCGCATCAGTTTTGATGTGGATACGTGGAATTTATTCGTGTATATAATTTTAAATTGCCTACGTTAACTCGCAGTTGTGTACGATTACTTTGTTTTGCGTATAGAAATTCTCAGACCCCTAACTTTAATCATATTTTTCTATCATATTTAAACTAATATAACAAACATTTCATAAATTTCTTGTATAATAAAAGAAATAAGCCCAGGTTATTCATAAATATATGGTGATTTCCTAGTACTATTGAGGTCAATATGCTTCTAAATGAAAAATAAACCTTAGAAATATCCAAATTTCCTATTACAAACCATGAACATAAATAACTATATCACAAGAGAACAGAGAAATATTTAACAGTTGAATAACACATTGAAAAAATATTTTTTTCTGCTTTTTTTGTTTTCTAACCCCGGAAATCAATTTTCTTAAAGGATATATGAATCAGGAAATCAACAAAAACCAAAAATTACTTTAATATTTTAGAAGAGAAAATACAATTTAAGAAAATATTTAAAAAAAGAAACAAAATTTTATATTGTCATTAAATAAACTGTTACGGATAATTTACTTTCATTTATTTCCAAAATTCTACAATATTATAGGAGAAGTCTCCATGTTTTCTCCTCTTTCTCTTTCTGTACACATCATTGTAGTTGATTACGAATTATATTTAGTCATGC